GGCTAAGCGGATGAGGGTGTCGGTGGAGGGGGACTGGTCGGGCCTGCGGGGCAGGAAGAAGCGGAGGGCCTTTAGGCCTTTTCTGATGAAGGATCTAGGCCCGAAATGTTAGCCTTTCTGCTCCTATGATGCTGCTTGGCCTGCTGTGTTCATCCAGCCTTGCACCTTGTTGTCTTGAATCCTATTAGACCTCAGATTCTCTAAATCACAGCCCTTCTACCTTCACCAGCATACCAATCCTTTAGCCCAACAGTTAAACTAACTCCAGTACCAACAAATCAATTCTAACGGGTCTCCCATTTTCTATAAATTTTAATCCACATCCAAAACTCCATTGGTTGTACCGTGACTTATACCCCCATTAGGGGAATTGACCTATCTTGACTCTCAGCATGATAAAATTTAAAACACACTTCCTAATGCTTAAATCTCTTCATGGACTAACAACCTAATTTTGCAACCTGGAAATCCTCATCCTGAAGCATTCCTTCTCCTTTAAGAAATCCACCATATATGACTTAATTGGTCAAGTTTTCCAGTATTCTCGATCTATCCTTCGTCAAAACACCTGGAAAAGCCGTCCATATTAAGAGCTCTACATAAATGTAAATCCTTCTTGTAACTATCAAAAATTAGGATCCAAAGAGCTGCCTAGAATAGTTTCTCTGCAGTAAGAACTGAGAGAAAAGTATCACAATTGGTAAAAATGTAAATTACAAGTTTTATTTCTATTCATTCATGTAAGCATTATTGCCCATCAATCAAGAGTCAACCACATTGCTGTGGGTCTGGAGTCATATGAAGGCTAGACCAGGTAAGGATGGCAGTTTCCATCCGTAAGGGACATTAGTGAACGAGATGGTATTCCCCTGACATGGTTTTATAGTCATCATTAGACTCTTAATTCAGAGAATGCTGTGGCAGGATTCGAATTTAGGTCCCTGGAACATATCTTGGGGTTCTGGATTAACAATCCAGTGATAATACCACGAAGCCATAATCTCCCCTGAAGTTAGATGGACAGTTGTGATTGTAAACATGACTTTAGAAATCTATAATGAAGAAGATAACAATGTCCAAAAGTTAACTTAACATATTCCAAAAGATTAGCTGTCAGTAGAGTCTGAGATTCTGCAAACCGATTGCTGGGCAAACTCAGGAGGTGTGGCAGTATTTATGAAGACACAGAATTAACGTCAAGTCTGACATGACTTCTTTTTGACCTGAAAGATGTTGGAAAATTGGTAAATAAAAATAAAACATCAACGTATTTTACAACCCCTTTCAGTTCTGAAGTCATGTCAAACTCGAAACATTAACTGTGTTGCTCTGTTCACAGATGCCGCTAGACCTGAGTTCCTCCAGCCTTTTGTTTGCTTCGGCTATTTCTTTTTATTATTACTGTTGATATTACGAATCACAGTGTGTGAAAATGTTAGGCGACTGCTTTTTAGCCACAGCCCTGAACCACTTACTCTCCGGAATATCATATATAAATAATTACACTTAGCCCATCTCCCTCTCTGGCTTGCACCCGCTGCAATCCCTGCACCAGTCAAACAGGATACCGAGCGAAGGAATCCCCTTCAGTTAATCGTTGGACTTGAGTGAATGAGCAAGTTGCAGGTGCGCACCGATGCTATTTTTTTTCAAATAGATACACCAAATGCGTTTGCATTTATCCAAGTGTAAACTGATTCTGTAAAAGGGAATGCACTCTCTATTTGGAGCAAACAGAAAATCGAATCGTACAGGTTCTCCAGGATTTTGGAGTTTAAATGCAGACACAAGAATTTGTTTCTCTGATACAGACACTTGGTTCACAAAGAAAAACAAACCCCTATCTGCTTCCCGCCGCTAGAACCGGAGACACAGGTCGGTCAGTCTCTTTTCCTTCCCCCCAGCCCGGACCGAAAACCAAGCCCCTGTCAGTCAGTGATAAACTCGGTCTCTTTGTGCAACAAGGTTCCACTGACACAAACTCACCGTTTCATGGGCGCCGCCATTTTGTACAATCTACTATACGGCATGTCACAAATCCCAAACAGAACCCTTTGCCCGCTGAAGCGGCGAAGACACGACACCGCCATAAAGTGGAATGCTCCCGCGTGGCAGTGTAACCATGGAGACGGCGGGTGGGGCGGTGGAGCCGGTGCGACAGCTGGGCGCATGCGCGGGCATGCCAGGGCTGACAATGGGCTCGGTCCTTGATTGACAGGTCGTTCCAGCTTCTTTTGTCCACAAGTTTGTTTGCCAGATTTAAAAAAATGATTCCAGTGCCGGAAAGCATTAAATAACTCAACTTAGTTTAATTGAAGGCTGAGATAAATAAGAATGATGGTTAAAGTAAATCGTAGTAACATTGGCATGGTGAAGATGAGCGGGCTCGTGTTTTGAAGGTGTTAGGATTTGAATGGAAAAGCAGATGCTGGAAATCTAAAATATGAACAGAAAGTACTCGAAATAATCATCTGGTTTGACAGCATGTCTGGAAAAAGCAATCTTCTGCATTTTTGGCTAGGTGCAAATTTTGTTATGTTTGATGGAGTGATTCTCAGCACAAGGTTGTGAGTTATCTCACTGTATCTTACCAAATTCTCTATTAATTGCCCAGTGATGAGTATCAGATACCATTTTGGTCCCATCTTACCAGGCAACATTCCCAGAACCACACATCAGATATCAGTCCTAAGACCAGAATTTTTGGCATTTGCACCATCTTGGGTCCAACTCATTTGCGCCGACCAGATATCCGAAATTGATCTAGTCCCATTTTCCAGCATTTGACCCACATCCCTTGAAATCCTTCCTACTCATAGAATCATTGAATCCCTACAGTGTGGAAACAGGCCCTTCGGCCCAACAAGTCCACACCGACCCTCAGAGCATCCCACCCAGACCCATCCCCCTATAAACCCACCTAATCTACAAATCCCTGAACACTATGGGCAATTTAGCATGGCCAATTCACCTAGCCTGCACATCTTTGGACTGTGGGAGGAAACCGGAGCACCCGGAGGAAACCCACGCAGACACAGGGAGAACGTGCAAACTCTACACAGACAATCACCCAAGGGTGGAATCAAACCCGGGTCCCTGGTATTGTGAGGCAGCAGTGCTAACCACTGAGCCACTGTGCTGCCCCTGGATGCATGTATCCATCCATTTTAAATGTTGTAATTGTACCTGCTTCCACCAGTTCCTCTGGCAGCTGGTTCCATACATGCACCTCTCTCTGCATGAAAAAGTTGCTCCTCAGGCCATTTTTAAACCTTAAACCTATTGCCCTCTAGTTTTGGACTCCCCTACCGTAGGAAAAAGACCTTGGCCATTTATTGTATCCATGCCCCTCATGATGTTATAAATCTTTATAAGGTCACCCCACAGTCTCCGACTCTCCAGGGAAAAATGCCCCAGCCAATTCAGCCTCTCCCTGTAGCTCAAACCCACCTGTCAATGTCCCTGCCACAGGGTCAGATTTCAGTTGGAGACTGAGGAGAGACTGCTGAGAGGGAGAAGTTGGCACAGTGGCCTCCTCCTGGCGTCCCCAGAATCACAAACCCCTGACTAACCAGTTCGATTAACTCCATGTGATTGAATTGAATTAGCTTTATTGTCACATATACTCAATGAGTACAGTGAAAGTTTATACGTCGCCACTTACAACACCATCTAAGGTACAAAGGTACCTAGGTACAGTTTCTTTAGTTACAAAATCTTACACAATAGAGAAATAAAATGTCCAACATCGCAGAAATAAAAGTTCAAAACAACAGACCACGCTGGCATTTAGCTTCCAGTCCACACCAGGCCCTGGCTCCACACCACACTGGGCTTCACCTTCAGGATTATGAAGCTGGGAGATCACTTCAGACCGCTATGCCGGGCCAAGGATGCCATGCCAGGCCAAGAAGACGCCATGCCGGGAGGCCACGCTGGGAGGCGCTACAAAATGGCAGGGAGGCTGCTGCACTAGGCCAGGAGGTCGCCACACTGGGAGGCCACAATGCCAGGTTGGGAGTCATTGCTGGATGCCAGGATTTGTTGCCGGAGGCTGGCAATTGTTGCTGGAGGCCGGCAGGCATCGAAGGCCGGGAGAGAGGAATAAAAACAAAACACTAAGAGGAAAAGAAGGAAAAAAAAGAAGAAAGGGTGGATGGACAACCTCTGGCTGGGACGTTCTTCTCTGCTGCCATCTTGAAATTAGTTAAGAAATGATTGAAGACACTGGATTATGGCAAAAAGCAAAGGCCCCCAACAGCATCTCGGCAGAAGGACTGAAGATTTGTGCTCTATAACCAACAACACTCTAACCAAGCTGTTCCAGTACAGCTATAATACTAGCATCTACCTGGCAATACGTAGAATTGCTCTAGTATGTCCTGTCCACAAACACTAGGAAAAATCCAATTGGGTAAATTACTATCCCATCAGTCCACTCTTGATCAGCAATGAAGTGATGGAAAGTATCATTGCTAGTGCTATGAAGTGGTACTTACACTGAGATAACTGTTCATTTATGTTCAGGTTGGGCTCCAAAAGGACATTTGACTCCTGACCCTTTATAACTTAGGAAAATGTGTAGGACCAGCCGCTCAGAGGTGAGGTAAGAGTGACTGCTTTTGACATCAAAGCAGCATTTGACTGAGTATGGCATCAAGAAACCTGAGCAAAACTAGAGTTAACTGCACTTGAGCGAATCTTCAGCTGCTTCACCAATGGCCTTTCATACTTCATTAGGTCAAAAGTGAGTATGCTCACAGATTATTTCACAATGTTCAATCACATTTGCAACTCTTTAGATGCTGAAGCAGCCCATGTCCATAGACAGCATTCAACACCACAGCACTCAACAACATTCAAGCTTAGACAAATAAAAGGTAAGTCACATATATGTCACAGAAGTGCCAGGCAATTATCTTCTCAAGCAAGAGAGTATGTAGCCATCTCTCATTAATATTCAATGACATTACCATTGCTGAATCTACCTCCATGATCATCTGGGGCGTTAACATTGAGCAGAAATTTAACTGTAATGAGCACATAAATAACATAGATACAATAACAGGTCAGAGGTTATGCATTCCATGGCAACAACTCACCTCTTCATTCCTCAAGGTCTTTCCACCTTCAAGAGTCAAAGCGTGATGGAATATTTTTCACTTGTCTGAATTAATGTAGCTCCAACAAACTCAAGAAACTTAAAACCATGCAGGATAAAACAACCTATTCAATTGGTCCCTATCTATCACCTTCACCATAATTTCCTTCACTACTGGTGCACAGTGGCAGAAGAATGCACCTGTACAAGATGCACCGAAGCAACTTGCCAAGGGTTTCTCCTACAAAGCTATCAAAATCTGTGACCTCTGCAATGTGAAGGGCATGGAAACACCAGGACCTGCAAATTCCCCTTCACACCATCCTGACTTGGAACTATAGCACTATCCCATCAGTGTCACTGACCCAAAATCCTGGAACTTCTTTCAGAACAGCAACTGTGGGTGCACTTACTCAGATGGGGCTGCAGCAGTTCAATAAGGTGGCTCAGCGCCACCACCTCCAGAGCAATTATAAATTGACAGTAAATGCTGACATAGCCAGAAATCTTCCAATTACATGAAAGAACAAAAGAAGTCCTCCTTAGATCTAACAAACTGGTTTATTTTTTGAACCCTGGCACAAGTTAACTTTACCTCAAGGACATTGGTACCAGTGCTGGTGATGTAAAACCTGCCTATCTCATACTGGAACTTCCGGCCAGTGTTCCAGGAATCTGAAGCCTATCTCCAGCTTTGTGTTAACCTGGTTTATTTCACTCCTCCTATACTGATTAACATATGGCTGGGGCCAATGCATTGAGGTCCTGCCTTCAAATTTCCTCCCTAGCTTTTAAAATCCTGTCTGTAGAACCTCAACTTTTCTCCTCTCTATGTAATTGGTTGCAAAATGGGCCGTACTTTCTCACTGTAACCCTTCCCCACCGCCTCTACCCCTAGAAATAAAAGGCACCTCACCCCACCAGCAATGTCTTTTACCATGATAAAAGAAGGATGCTATGTAGGACACATGTTAGTATCTATGGAAAGTTCTATCCGTCTCCTTAACAATCTGATCCTTTAATGATCACCACATACCTCACAGCTATTTGCCCCACAGCGCCATACAGGTGTTCCAAAATTCACTCTCCAAGATGCCATCACTGTAGTCCTTCCAGCAAGATGGCGGCAGGTTAAGTCAGCAACCATATATGTACAGTGAAGGTACACACTTTTCACTATATTTTTACATGGAATACACGTGACAATAAATGATTCAATTCAATACAATTCAATGACCAGTTGCTAGCTTTGAGAGTACCAGACTCCCACTGGATTTCTAACCTACTAGGTCTCTTTCCTCCTGAACTCTCTATAACTGTGTCATGCTCACTGAGCTGTACTCTAGGAAATTGTCAGTTTCTGTTAGACCAGTACAGCTCTTCAACCTCAAACTGGAGGCACTTTCTGCATGTGTGTTTGGAGTTTCCACGTGGCATAGGAATCACAGGTCTCAATTTCCCCATCCTTTTTCTCTAGCACATGCTGACAAACACACACTTCAATGCTTTTTTTTAAGTTGGGATGAGTACTATTGTGAAACCCAAGTTCAAGAGCTATCATGCACAGAAATTAAATTGAGCAAGTAAAATCTGCCTGATTTACATTTGGAAAAACAATTAAAGCTGAAGAGTGACAGAAAGGAAATTAAATGTAGTTGGAATTTTTCTGCATAGGAATCAAGTCTAATTCAGCTGAACAGAGTAGGTTCAAACCAAATGCCTAAGGCTTGGCCAGCTCATTCATCCCTTTATCCAAATTTCTTTGACCACAAAATAAAGGCTGTCCTGCCCTTATGCATGTTCCTGCCTCAAAAACTCAACCAAGATTAACAAAGTTGTTGATTGTTGGTATAATTAAAAACTTAAAATCTAGTAGAATCAGGCCACTATGTTGTCAACTAAGATTGTGTACCTTTAGAGATAATCTAAATATACATTTCTGAGCAACACGGCATTTTCTACCATAACAAAGTACACACATGACTGTTTCAAATCTCTGCCTGCATTGTCTTTTGCTTTCCATCCTCCTTAATCTTGGTTTCTATCAGTATCTATTTACATTCCATCCTT